AGATCAATTATAAAATCCTTTATATAAAAGTTAAAAAAAGTTATTTGTTAAAAGTATAATAAAGATTAATTTGTATAATAAAAACTCAATATTTGTTATAATCTTTATAGAATAAATCAAGAGTGGATATCTGAATCGTTTATTTGTATTTTATAATAATAACAATTTGAACAAAACTTTAATTAGATTGAAGAGAGATAATTCGATAGATTGTTAATTAAAAGTTATTATATTATATATAATTTAATTATAATAATACTTAAAGTGTAACAATCTGGTCGAGATAATAATTATTTAAGGTTTTGTATAATTAATAATTGTAGATTAAAATTAATAATTATTGATTATTTATTCAAAAATGAATATATTACTAGATTAATTAGAATATAAATAAACTAATTGATAATTAAATTAAATATAAAGTTTTTAAATTATAAAATTATTCTAATTATATATTAATGAATATAAAAAAGCTTTATGAAACCCTAAAGCTTTAAAAAGCTTTTGAAGTTTTCAAAGTTTTCAAAGCTCCTTATTATATGATTAGGATCAGATTATATGTCCGAGCTTGCTAAGGGTAAGGAGATTATATGAAGCGATTACCATACAAATTTGTATACAATCCGCTTTGCTTTTCAAGGAGGTCCAAGCTCATACAGACAGGTTGACTGTTGCCTCTCAACATACTATAATCTCAACTGTAAATCGTGACATCTGAGTACCTGTATAGAAATCATTTAAAGCTTGGAAAAAGATTGTTTTATTATAAAACTTATTATTATTATAATTCTCAATCGATAATTCTCTTTTTTTTGATTTTATAAAGATTATTATAAATTCGAGATTATTAAATATAAATCTTATAATTTTAATAAAGGAATAAAATTATTGATTGAAGTATTAAAAGCTTTTATTATATATATTAATATTTTTTTTATTAATCTTTTTTTGATTAATAGTAACGTTTTTCAATTTTATATCTTTTATATTTTCTTCGAAAACTGATTGAATTAGTTGAGGGGATTGAAAGGACTTCTTAATATAAATTTACAAAGATTATTCAAATTGTATAAAAAGTAAAGTTCGATATATAATAAAGATATTGATATACTTTCAAAGAGAGTTTATTATCACAATTTACAATTTAGATTATAATAGTATTATTAATATCAGTGATTTAAATATCGATTACTGAGGGGGTGTGATTTAATTATTGTTTTTAAAAGACTTAATTGTTTATAGATAGAAACCTAGGATTTTTAAAATAAATATTATAAGTAATTATATTAGAATAGGATAAATGTTTTAATTAATCAATTGTAATGAGACAATTATTTTAAAGGATATTGTATTCTAAAACAGAAATTTCTAAAGAAAAACTTTTGGAATAAATGTTCCAGGAAAGAAGAAATCTTAAAATCGATTATATGATAAGGAGTTTTAAAAGTTTAGAAAGTTTTTAAAGTTCTAGAAGTTTTTAAAAGTTTTTGAGTTTTATAAAGTTTTTTTTTATTTATTAATATATAATCAGAATAGTTTTATAGTTTAAGAGTTTTATATTTTATTTGATCTAATAACAAATTCATTTTCAAGTAAATAATTAATGATTAATAACCTTAACTTACAACTATCAACTATATAAATCTTAAACAGTCACTGTCTCGATCAGATCGTTATATTTATCTTTGTTAATTAAATTGAAATAGATTTTCTTTTTTTAAACAGAATGTTCGAAAAGATTTATTTAAAAAGATATTATTAAATTAATATATTATTTAAAAGGTTATTAAATAATTGAATTATATAAATAAATTATAAAAAACATAATATATAAAAGTTTTATAAAAGTTAAATAAACAAATTCAATTATATTTCTTAAAATTTATAATTAAAAAACTATAATTTATAAAGAATATCTATATATATATACAAAATATTTATATAATAATTATATAATTATATACAATCTATCTTAAAATGATTATAATCTTATATTAAAAAGAATAAATCTAACAAAATATATATAAATTATCAATTCATCGATAGAAATTGATGATCAATTAAAATCATATAATTATCTTTATATAAAGTCTATAATTGTAACGATCTGGTCGAGGCAGCGGCTGCCTCAGGTTTTCGTCTGGTTGGTAATTGTAGGTTAAGGTTAATAATTATGGATTATCTATTCGAAGATGAATATATTATTAAATCAATTGGAATATAGATAAACTAATTGATAACTAAATTAAGTATAAAGCTTTTAAATTATAAAACTATTTTAATTATATATTAATCTCTTTTTCTATATTAATTATATTAACTGGATTAATACAATTAGTATTTCTATAATATTAATTCTATTAATTAGGCTAATAGAACTAATACATCATATAATTGATTCTGAAATCTCTTATATCCTAAAGCCTTTCCTTTCCTGAAACATTTATTCTAGAAGTTTTCCTTTTAGAAATTATAGTCTTAGAATATAATATCCTTTAAAGTAATAATCTTATTATAATCAATTAAATAGAATACTTATTTTATTCTATTATAATTGTTTAAAATACTTATTCTAGGAATCTGTTATGATTCATGGTTTTTTTTATAGTAGTATTATTAACATCGGTGATTTATAGGCTGACTATAGGGGGGGTGTGATTTAATCATTACTTTCGGGGGTCCTGATTATTTAAGCCTAGGACCCCAGGATTTTTAGGATAAAGTATTCTAGGCAACTATAGTAGAATAGGATAAGTGTTTTATCTAATCGATTGTAATGGGATTATCACCCTAGAGGATATCGTATCCTAAGGCTATGGTTTCTAGAGGGAAAGCTTCTGGGATAAGTGTTCCAGGAAAGGAAAGGCCTTGGGATATGAGAGGCCTCAGGATCAGTTATGTGATGTGCTAGCTCTGCTAGTCAGTTAGCAGAGCTAGTATCACAGGAATGCTAGTTGTGCTAGCCAGTTAGTATAACTAGTATAGGAAAAGAGATTAGTATATAGTCAGAATAGTTTTATAGTTTAGGAGCTTTATATTCAATTTAGTTATCAATTAGTTTATTTATATTCCAATTGATTTAGTAATGTATTCATTTTCGAGTAGATAATCAGTGATTATTAGTCTTAACCTACAATTACCAATCATACGAAAATCTGAGGCAGCCGCTGCCTCGACCAGATCGTTACAGAATCCTGAAGTCCTAGGCTTAAGTAATCAGGATCTTCGAAAGCAATGGTTAAATCACACCTCTTTTATAGTCGGTATATAAATCACTAATATTAATAATACTATTATAAAGAAAATCATAAATTATAATAATAATATCTTTATTATTATAATTTTTATTTTATAAACAATTCTAAATGCTTTTTGTTTATAAAAAATAAAAAATAAAAAAATAAAAATATTAAAAATTTACAAGATTTATTTTGAAAATAAAACTTTTATTTATATAAAAATTAATTATTCAAAAATATATATACTTGATTTACAAATAATCGATTCTTTTATTCTTTTTACTTTTTTGAATTAATTTTATTCTAAAACACTCATTTATATATTTAAATTTATTTACTTTATTCCCCTCTTCAATATCTATTTTATTAATCAATTTATAAATTCTATCAATTTTATTTTTATTTCTTTTAATAAATACAAATCAAATAAGTATTATTCTAATCTAGGAATTATATATTTATACAGATTTATTAAAGGAAATTATAAAAACTTATTTTATTTATAAAATCTTTATTTTTTTAAATAATTAGAAAATTATTCTTTATATTTTTATTTATATCAAAAAAGAAATTGAGATATATATCAGGGGCCTGCGCCCCCTGGCTTTTGAGAAAGTCTAATGAAAATTTAAGTTTTAAAAGTTTATAATAAATTTAAATATTAAATATATATTAGAGTGTAGACAGAATATCAGCTTGTTTTTGATAATTGAAAATTATATATTTTTTAAATATAATAATAATAATAATAATAATAATAATAATAATAATATATTATAATTATTATTTTAAATTTAAAAAAATTAATTTTTAATTATCAAAAACAAGCTGATATTCTACCTACACTCTAATATTGTAAAAGTGATAGGTCGAGATATATACATTTTGATAGTATATTGTAAGAAGAGAATTGGAAGAGAAAACTGAATTAGATTATATTGTAATATATTATTTATAGGTAAAACAGAGTTCACAATGGTTTTGGAGTTGATATTATATAGATTCAAATGTATATATATAGAAGATTGATTATTATAAAAAAAAGAGACAAAAGATTCTTCTTTTATATCTAATTATAGAAGATTATATGATTGACTAATTAAAAACCTTTATATATTTGGCCTATAATTCCAACTTTCTTACAATATATATTTAATATTTAAATTTATTATAAACTCTTTAAAAATTAAATTTTCATTAAAATTTCTCTATCACAGACACTACCAGATTACAGTCTGAAACCTTATATATATTACAGACTACAACTTTATTTATATAATCTCGATATTGTATTAGCGAAATATTAAGTTATTAATATAGAAAAACATTATATAAATCTCTTATTGATGTTTATATATCCGATTGTATTCGATCTGAAATTTTCTTTGCTTTTTGTCTATAAAAAGATTGATTTATTTAGTTTAGAAAGGACAATAAAAAGCTTTAAAACTGTTTTAAGACTAGTTGATTCTTTGTTATATATAACTTTAACATTCTCGAAAAGTCAGGGGTCCGGGGGGCGCAGGCCTCTGGTAATTGAATTTCTTTTCAAAATATTATATAAGAAATTATAATAAAATATTATATTTAATTAAAAGAAAAATTATAAATTTTATATTATAAAAATCTTTTATTATAATAAATATTTATATTTTGTTATAAAAATAAATAAAGATAAATATTAATTACATTTCGTTGTAGATCTTTTTGAAAGCTTATTATAAACAGTGCAGGTAGATTAAACCTTTAATAATCATCTTGAAAAGAAAAGTTTATATATATTACTATTATTATCTTTTATCACTCCATTCCTTTATCCTTAACCATTTATCTTTCATCCTGATTACTTCCTTCTTTCATTCCTCCGATGCTCGCTCGTACCACCAATGTCCAAACTGGACTCAAAGTTAAAAGCTGTTAAATATATACATAAGAATTGGAGATTTGCTTCTTTCTCCTCCCTATCGCCTTTCTTTCGTTATCCCGTCGAGCCATCTTTGTCCTTTCTCTCAATTCTTCCTTCCCATAATCCGATTGCTCAGCAACAATCAAAGATTATCCTTCCCTTAGCAGACTCATCAAGTGATCCTACCCCTAACTGTCATTCCTTCCCTTTCCTTTCGTTTAAAGATCAAATGTAACACCATGAATGAGTGTGTGTTGGGTATCTTTCATCGTTTCCATGCATCCGTTCATTTCATATCATACTAAAAGACCGTGAGTGCATATCATGTATGCCGAAAATTTCGTAAAGACTGTGAATTATCATTTCATCCATTATTGAGGTTGCCTTTAAAATAATAAATCAAGGATCGTATATGTCATGTTTCTTGTTGTTCATATCTGATGGAGACATTGGAAATGAAATATAAAATCAGTAACGAATATGTCATAATACGTTAAATGTAATCGTCGTGTCGTACAGTCATAAAGATGAATGTAAAAATGGCGACGCTAAATTTCGAATGAAAAATTAAAATGAAGAAGAAGCATGCATGTTACCAGCCAATCATCCCTACAATCATCGCTACCAATATAAAGAATATGGAAGGCTTCAATTTTGAACCAGCATTCTGAGAAGGTTCACCGGTCCCCGATGGGCTCGCAGACCCGGAACTAGTGGATGAAGAACTTGTAGCTGATTTCGTTGTTGGAGTCGGGATTGAGGTTCGAGATTGAAGGGAAGATTCAGATCCAGTTGCTGAGCCAGATGCCGAGCCAGATGTTGAGGATAATGTTAAGGCCGTTGCAGAGCTCGAGACGGAGTTGGAAATGCCTATGCCGGGGACACTTGAGGCTGCTGTTGACGCTGAGGCAGTTCCACTACCGAAAGCTGTAGGTACACTGATTACCACAGGAGAAGAGGCGCTAGCGGTTGAAATTGGGAGTGAAGATGTAGTCGAAACACCAACTGGTGCGATTTGGCTCGTGATACTAACACTCTGGCTGGGGCTCGGGCTCAGGCTCAAAACAGCACTCGAGGCACTTGTGATAGTTTCCAACTTGATTGTGCTGGTGGTCGCATCAACAGGCAAAACTGTCGCCGTTTTTGTAATCACTTGCGTACTACCAGCAACCTCACTCTGTGGTGTCTGTGCACTACAGAACTCCAAGAATTGTCCGAATTGTGGCTCCACGTATGCTTGCAAAGTTTGTTTCACATTGACACTATTTGCCTCGATACATGCTTGACATGAGGAATAATCTGATTCAAATGCGGAATTGGAGGCGCAAAGAGCTGGTGATTTACCGACTTTGAGTACTTCGATATAGCAATTGTTGCAGGTGGCGTAGCAGACTGCAGGGGCGACAGTTTCATCGCGTTTGGTGAGGAGGTTAAGATGCATGGAGTCTGAATTGCCTTTCCTGCCAAATATTCGGGGGAAAAGACCGCGGCGAGACGGGGCGGAAGGTGTGGCAAGTGCTAGAGTGGAAAGTCCGGTATGAGTTACGGCTGGGAAGTGGGAGATACCTGTTTGGGATGTCCAATCACCAGTAGTGACTGTTTTGACTAATTCGGTGCCTTCATTACCAATGATGATTTCGGTGATGACCTTCTCGATGAAAATCCCAAAGCTGAGACCAAATGCATTGGGGTTAAGATTGAAGTATCCAGCTGTTGGTGGGTAATAACCAGTCTGATTTTGTGGCCAGTATACTTCAGTTGTATTAGGAGCAGGGATACAATATCGGGCTTCGCAAAGATAATCTTCGGCAGGTGGATCGGCCCAAAGAGCACAGTGGTCAGGCTTGGGCGGGTTACAGACGTATCCTGGTGAACATCCAAAGATTGCTGACGAACTATAGTCTTGAGGAGTTACTGGGCCGGAATTTGTAGGGGATGGACAGGTGACCAGTTCTGTTACAGTTACCGTAGATCCAGGTTCAGTGATATATGCCGTAGATCCTCTCAAGGTTGCCCCAAGGCTGATGGTGGTTGGATAAACGCTAATAGCGCCTGGTATAGTTGATATCACGGTCGATCCTCCCTGTGTATTTGTAACTGTAGGTCCGGCAAGTGATTGAGTTACCGTGGATAGCGGAAATGAACCAGCAAGAGTCGACACGGATCCAGGGAGTGTAATCACAGACCTGGGTAACGTGATCGTTTGACCAGGAGCTGTGAATGTTGATTCTTGAATAGTAGTAATTGGCGCCGGGAGTGTTGTGACCGAGCCGACCATGGTAACTGTCTGCGCTGGAGCCGTAAAAGTTGATGCTTGAATAGTAATGGTTTGTCCTGGTAGTGTGGTGACTGATCCAGATATAGTAGTCGCGGATGCAGGTAATGTGATTGTTTTTACTGGAGCTGTAAGTGTTGATCCTTGAATAGTGGTAATTTGCCCCGGGAGTGTTGTGACGGAGCCGACCAGGGTAACTGTCTGTGCTAGAGCCGTAAAAGTTGATGCTTGAACAGTAATGGTTTGTCCTGGTAATGTAGTGACTGACCCTGGGAGCGTAATTGTCTGCATTGGAGCTGTGAATGTTGACCCTTGAATAGTAGTTGTTTGTCCTGACAGTATAGTGAACGAACCAGGTAGAGTAATAGTGGAGCCTGGTAAGGTCACAGTCTGGCCAGGGATTGTCGACCCAGGCAAAGTCAAGACTGAGCCGGGAAGGGTTATAATTGAGGTAGTTCCTGGTTGGATTATAGTGGTCAAAGACCCTAATATCGATGTTGTAATTGTAGGCCCGGAAATTGTTTGCACTGAGGTACTTGCAGGTAGAGTAATAGTTGTCAAAGGTCCAGGTAACGAGATTGTAGGTCCGGAAACTGTCAAAATCGACGTGCTACCAGGCAAAGAAATTGTTGTCAAGGATCCCGATATCGAAGTGGTGATAGTTTGACCAGGAACTTGGTTATATCAGCAAAATATTCATCTTGATGACGAAATGATCATTGTACTTACGTGAGGTAGTGACGTAAATGTTGGATGTGATTGTTGGGCCAGAAAGTGTCAATGTTGCTGTGCTTCCAGGTAGAGAAATGGTCGTCATAGATCCTGATATAGATGTAGTGACAGTTTGTCCAGGAACTTTAAAATATCAGTATATAATCTATGTATATTTGTATACATAATTGAAGACTTACGTGAAGTGGTTACGTATATATCAGAAGTTACCTTCGGCCCTGGAACTGTCAAGACTGAGGTAGTTCCAGGCAAGATGATGGTAGTCAAAGATCCTGATATTGAAGTCGTGATGGTTGGACCGAGAACTAATTAGTTGTCAGAATAGGATCTAGCAATCAGTGATCTTTTATTACCTGAAGTAGTAATGAAGATATCCGAAGTCACAGTGCTAGCGGGAAGGGTAAGTGTCGATGTTGTATATATTTCTGAGATGATCGTTTGGGTAACAACTATCGTTGACGCAGGTTCCGTGATCGTGATTGGAGTTCCTGAGATCATAGTAGTGACCGTTACGGGAGGAATAGTGATGGTATCGAGCGAAGTGAGCGTTATGACTGTACAATTAGCACCTTTTAAACGTTTCATAACCTTGAAAACTTACCAGACGTCAAGGTCGTTGTAGCAGCTGAGGATATTAGCCATTTGTATGTCAAAGATATATGTCATCAGGACTTACTCTCAAAATCGGTCGTGGTGTAGCTAGCTGTAGTCGCTTTGTTTCACATTAATCATTCGATCTTATACTCAAATTTTATAAATTACTTACTTTCACTATTGGTCACTGTTGCTGTGGCCGTCGTAGCTAGTTCAAAATCAGCCGAGTGTCTACCTACCTTGAAAGCAGTACTTACTTTCAGACCTAGTGATCAATGATGTATAAGTTGTTGGGATATATTGCGTCGCGGATATAACCTGGGAATACGTTGTCGGGATATATTGAGTTGACGTACTCGTATGATCGCTGACAATTGTGGTATAAACAGTATATGGATATGAAGTAGAAATTGTTAGTGTGGAAAGATGAACCTCTGTCAAGACGGTGCTGATCGTGGTCGATTCTATCAAGGTGATACTATATGTCGAGTAGATATCAGAAATCGAGATACTTGTAGATACACTAATTTCAGTCGTGGTAGTAGGAACCTGGACTTCCCATTAGCTAATGCAAAGTATTCACTTGCAAGGGACGCGCACCAAAGTACTACTAGTAATCACACTAGTCTCTGTGGTTGTCGTGGGTACCTAGGAAGGCGTTAGCCGTCGATCCAAGGGAGCTTAAAGGTGGGGACGGACGAGAGTAGTAAACGTTGACACAGAGGTTAATTCCCGAGTTGTCGTGTAGGTAGTGCTTAGATACGAGGTAGAGTAGTAAGTGGTCGAGCTGATAAGAGTTTCATATACAGTATACGGATAAGATGTGGAAAGCGTCATAACGGAAGTGGAGAAATACGATGAGACGACTGTAGTTGGAACGAGGGAAGTACTTGTCGTCGTAGTTGGAACAAAGGAAGTACTTGTCGTCGTAGTTGGAACCAATATTTCCGTCGTTGTGGTGTATGGAATAGAAGTAGTTTTGGTACTCGTCATAGTATATGTTGAGACTGTTGTGTAAGTGTTATAACTGTATTCTGTTGTTGAAGACACCACAGTATATGGATACGAGGTCGTTTGTGTAAGCGTGGCTGTGGAAAAGTATGAGTCGGTGATCGTAGTTGGGATCAGTGAAATTTGCGTCGTAGTAGTTGGCATTATAACACTTGTGGTGAGAGTGGAAAGACTGAAAAAAACCAAAATTTCTAATACTGTAGTAGTGGTATAATCTGTGACGCTGTGAGTTATATCATTTATGACCGTCTCACTCACGGTATATGGGTAAGAAGTCGTGATGTAAGAAGTGTCTGTGGTGCTATAGGTCTCTATGATCGTTGTGTAGACGTATACATCTGAAACCGACACGGAAGTCGAGATTGAAGTAGAAATATCTGTGACAGTGCTAGGTACGAATGTTGTAATTGTGATTAAAGAGGTCTGAGTGCTATATATATACGATGTCGTTGAAGAGATAACAGTATAAGGTATACTTGTAGTTATTAACGATGTTGAAACGGTCGTGATAGGTACATATGAGGTTTTAGTGACATAATCTGTTTCAGTATCTGTGGCAGTTGTCGAGAATGTACTTGTTTCGCGACTAGTATAGTACTCGGTGGTGTATTGAGTGTAAGTCGTAGAGTAGTTCGAAGTCACCATTACTGGATAGCTCGTACTCAAAGTATATGTTGAGACGGATGTCGAGAGATGGTCAACGGTAGTGGTTATATAAACATCCACTGTTGTGGGTAAGGGTACAGAGCTGATTGAAGTCACCGTGCTGGTGGTCTCATATATTGATACTTCGGTTTTCGTCGTGGTTTCCCATAATGTGTAGTTGTTTATGACAGTCACGGGATAAGATGAGGTGATAATCACATCTTTGGTAATGGTGTATGTCGTAGGTTGATATACCGTTGTTGGTAAGTAATCAGTTGTGCTTGATGTGACTGTGGCAGTCGCGTAATCTGTTGTGCTTCTAGTGATAAGAGAGGTGAAAGTTGTTGAGGAATAGGATGTGATTGTCGTGAGAGACCCACTAATAGTCTTGGTTATTAAAACGGGATAAAACTCCGTGCATGTGGTTGTAATGGTCTTAAATTTTGTTTTTGTGTGGTCCTGAGTAGTTGTAGTAGTGAAACTTGAGGTGTGTCGTTCAGTAGTTGTCAGGGTAATGTACTTCGTCATTGTAATTGGATATCCATAGCTGTTTATTAGAGTTGTTGTATATGGGATCGAGGTCGTAATAACATCAGTCAATATGGTAGTCTGCCAAATGAAGCTCGTGGTAGTATCCTCGTCAGTAATAGTGTTAGTTAGAGTTGTAAGATCCACCTCGGTGGCAGTGAAATTGTAGTTTTTAGTCTAGCATGACAGTTAGTACGACAAACTTGAGGACTTCCTGAAGGGTTAAATACCGCAGTAACGAGAGCTGTCACGGTAAGGTTCGATGTAGAGATGTCGGTCTATTTGTGATTTTAATATCAGCTCTAGAAAAGTTTGACTATGGCCTAAAATACTTACGACAGTAATAACGTCCGTCAGGGTAGTAGTAATCACGGAGATTACACTGGGGACACTAATGCCAAGATATTAGCAAATCTTCTGTGTAACAATTTTTGAGGAGAGTCGAAAGTAGCTTAGCATTATGATTCTTTGCTTCTCCTTCTACATGACGATTGACCTCAGCCGTCAAGCCCAGCGACGGACAATTGCCACGCCTTATAGAAGAAGAAATGATCTCATAATCTTCAGCTAATACCGGCATTGGCCAAGGAATGAAGGACTGAATATGTGACGCTTGATCTACTTACGTTGTTGTGAGGGACTCTGTCTCGGTAGTCTTCTCCGTGATCTATTGCATGTTAGCTGCTGTACTTTTTGACGATGATTGGGGGACGTACAGTTTGGTTAGCAGTTTGATAACCACCGACGGTTTTAGTTATCTAGTAACGCGTGAGGAACTGAGCTATGGTGAATAAGATGCAAACCTGAACTTACAGTCTGATTTTGAGTGACCGTCTCCGTGATCTAAAGTCCGTCAATAAATCGATTCCCGAAGTCTCAGAAAGACTACACTCACTGTCGTTACTCCATAAGGATATCCACCACTCGGGATGGAGCTCGCGGTGACAGTGACCGTCTCAGTAACCTTTCCGTAGTCAATTGAATGCCACTTTCCATGCTCAGCATTGCGCAAAACTCACTGTAGTACCAGGCCCATAGCCACCCCCAACAGTTGTAGTGATTGTCTGGGTATCCTGATTTCCCGTCAATGGTAGTTCCTGGGTTTGTGTAAATTTGCTCACGTTTTGATTTTGATAGACTGTTGATGTGGAGATTGAGACGAGTGTGGTTGGTTTGCTAAATCATATTAGTATTTCTTAACTGTGAGGTTGCCCGCAGAAACTCACTCAATCGTAGTAGTTTCCCAATAGGTAGTCGCCAACACAGAAACTGAAGTTGACGTGACAGTTTCTGTGGGACAAGATCCATATCCATCGCTAGATGATGTGACAGTAACAGTTTTTGGCTCGCACGTTGAAGGAAGCCCGTTTCCATCTGATGTTATTGGAGTCACGATCGCTGTGGTTGTATTCCAATATTCTCCTTGTGCCACTCCAATTAACCCTGCTATTAGGACTCCAATCCGATTTTTGGAGACCATTGTGAAATGCCGTCCTCGATTCGAAATAATGAACGATAGTGTAGATGAGAGCAATTATGCTGAAATCTTTCAACGAGCGAAAAGAAAAAGACGACAGTTACTGCTTCTGGTTTGGGAACTATTGACTGCAGGTATCCGTATAGTAGTTGGTGTGCCTGACTATAATATACGATACGACCAAAGTGCATCAGCTCTAAGGCTGAAGTTCCGAAAACTCCAATCGAAGCGATTTATAGCCAATCAAGAAGGCAGCTCAGAACTCTCACAGCCAAATATCTGGCAATGTAACCTTGGAAGATTTCCGAAGACGTGCAGGTGAGCCACGAGCAAGAGAGACAAGTAAAACGAGAGAAAGGTCTAAATGATAGATATTGTTGTGATGGAGAAAAATCTCGAAATGGAAAAGAGCTAGGGGACCCTAGACATTACGAATCTACGAAAACAGCACCTTACCTTACCAATCCACTTTGGATATTAAAGTCGTAGTATAAGAAAGATGCAGGGCCAAGGCAAGAGAAGGATAGTGCATGGACAAGCTCCAGGGTCTTGTGGTGATTTGAGAAGAGAAAAGGAAAATCGTCTTTCGTCTTACTCCAAAAGACATGAGCCTCAATAGGACAACGCATTTTGCTGTACATATTGTACATAGCCTTGACTGAACATTAAGCATGCGATAGGCGATCCTTGCGTTGCTGTCGTCCAACCAAAATGACATGCATCTTGGCACGCTGATCTACAGAGTATGAACCAACATCAATTCTTTGGATGACAAGAATACCGAGGATGGATATTGCATGTCACTACATGATATCGGAGCAAGAAAGGCATGCCGTTCATGTCCTTGCCCTTCGGGAAAATCTTCCGTACGACAGATTGTCACCTTCTCTGCAGGGCCGAAGAGGAAAAAAGCTAATCGTAAGAGGCGTAAGCAGATAAGGAATAAAAAAGGTTTGTTTACTGTTGGAAAGTAAAAGATCCCGGGTACCCTCCTTGCCAGATTACTGCAGGTAGGTCCGTTTCGGGGGCTATTCCGTGTAGCTGGGTATTTGGGGCTTATCAAATGAACCGTGTAGATTTTTGTCTGTTGTCAAAAAGATTCTGCTAGACGGTTGAATGAAAAATTGACAGGTGACAAACAGTGATAAGAGGCTGAGTGGCGGTGGGGAATATGTTTTTTGGTTTCCTTTGGGTGGAATTATTGCCTATTTGGTAGAATCAAAAGGAAAAGCTGATCTTGAGGCTGCAACACTCACCACTCACTATCCACTCTTCCACATACACTTGCATTCTTCCTCATGGTTGCTCAGAATGCGACCGGGTAGCTCATGCAGGTGATTCGATGACATACGAAGAGAGAGATATCTGGGTAGAAATGGTGAGTGGAGTGGGCATTTAATAAAAAGAAGCCGAGAGTAAGGAAATCGAAGGGTCGTATGGCCATGGAGGGTCGGATGAGGTCGAGAAAAGGAAGAGGGAAGAGGTGGTTGGTGAGAGATGCAGTGAGTGGAGAAGTTGGCTTTTAGTGTAAAAAGATATGATTGATGTGATTGGTCAATGTGGATAACCCCGCTTAAGCACATCCTCCCATCTGTTCGTCTGGGAGGATTCAGTAAGAGCAGCTCTCGATGGGCAAATGGTCTTCATCTTCAATTCTATGCCAACCTCATGAATCATGGATCATCATCATTCGTTCATTCGTTCATTCTACACCAAACACCACCTTTTCATCAATCTCCTCGTATAATTTTACCACACTGTCACCACATATTTCACCATCTTTGTACGTACACTTTCATGCATTTTCATCTACTTCCAACAGGGATCCATTCCTTTTTTGATACATCACACCTTATCTCTTCCAAGTGCTTACTCATACAGATATACATACACCGTACTAAGTTTGCTTTATAAGATTTTTATTCTTAATTATTTTACACTCTTCCCAAAATCAAGAGAGCCTCATGCATGATATGGTAGGATTCATGTTGTGGTTGCTTGCCCAAAGGTACTGAATCTATTACCCCACTTCACGGATGATCAACTGAACAGGTTAAATCCCCGCCATTCACTCATTTTGGCAATTAATCAATCAATCACCTCGCGAGCAACCAGAAGTGGAAGGAACTTAATTAATAAAAAAAAGCCTTGGAAGAACACATAGCTAAGATTACCGGAAAAGAAAAAGAGAAAAAACATTTTCCTCTGCAGCATCACATCTGTACATATTTTTGGTGTCACCTTGAATCCAAAAAAGAAATATGCCAGAAAAGATCCTAGATGACATCTCTCATAGAAGATTCAACCCATTGCGGGGTACTTGGCTTCTAGTTTCCCCCCATCGTACCAAGAGACCATGGCAGTAAGTTCCAAAGTCTTTTTTCAAAACATAAAAGCCTTCATGCCGTAAAAATGCTAACATATATAAAAGAGGACAACAAGAAGCCGCTTCGACGATTACCCTCCCTGAATATGATCCAGCGGTATGCCGAAAGGTTCCGAAGTTGATACCGAAGACTGACTCATCCCAAAGTGTTACTTATGTCCAGGAAATAAACGAGCACAAGGAGATTCAAACCCGCAGTACAAAGATACTTTTGTCTTCGTAAATGATTATAGCGCGGTTAAGGAGGTTCAAGCTGAATATGCGCAGGATGGGGAGTCAAAAGGTCCGTTTTATCTTGTCATTTGTCATTCTTCCCCTTCCTTGGAGAGTTGTCCCTCTTTTAATAAACCAAGACCAATCTGACAAATTGCGTCAATATCTTAGACCTCTCAAACATCCTTCTACGTGCCGAACCTGTAACAGGAAAATGCTACGTATTAACCTTCTCTCCCTCACACAACCTCACTCTCGCAGACCTCACTCCTGCTCAGATTCTTCCTGTCATCCAAACATGGACAGAGATTTACGCCGCACATCTATCTCCCTCCTCACCTCTTGCGAGCGTCGCCCAACCCACCACTCTTGCACCATCAGGCCATGATGTTGGAGCTCCAAATCAACAATACAAATGGATGCAAATCTTTGAAAATAAGGGTGCCGCAATGGGTTGTTCAAATCCACATCCTCATGGACAAATTTGGACTACTACCGGATTACCGGAAGAGCCTGCTTCTGAACTCGTGAATCTTCTTAAATACCGTCAGGAAAACTCCGGTCGCCATTTATTGGAAGATTACGTGAAGCTTGAAATGGAAAAGGAAGAAAGAATCGTGTTTCAGAATGAGAGCTTCCTGGTGGTGTGTCCGTGGTGGGCTACATGGCCATTTGAGGTTATGATCATTAGCAAGACTCATAAGCGAGGTCTCGTTGATTTAAACGACAAGGAGAAATTCGGGTTTGCCGAGGCCATTGCAGAGGTCACAAGGAGATATGATAATTTGTTCGAGACGAGCTTTCCTTACAGTACGTAATCCCTTCCTTGCTGTACATTCATCTTCTTCGTTCCCTCCCCCAGTGTTTCCTTTCCTCACGCGTAGGATATGTTGAGCTAACGAACAAACAGGTTCTGGAATCCACCAAGCTCCATTAGAGGGTACCGAAGCAGAGATCAATGCCTCCTACTTGCACATGCATTTTTATCCTCCTCTTCTCAGAAGTGCAACGGTCAGAAAATTCTTAGTTGGCTATGAGTTGATGGCCGAGCCACAAAGAGATATCACTCCAGAGCAGGCTGCTGCTAAACTAAGAGATTGTGGTGGAGAGTTGTACAGAAAGAAGTTGTAAAGGCTTAGACAGGGGAGTGCTTCATTGTCATTGAGCTCGAGATTTGGGGTGAATGGAAGTACGCATAGAACTTGATGGGGATTTAAAAAAAAAATTAGACTCTAGAAATATAGTAGACTCGTTCAGCGGGTAATATTATATATATCCTCTGTCATCAACTTTATGCGGGTTGTGACCTCAATGAGATAACCCATGCTGCCCAGCTTCAGATTAGTATATTTTGACCTGTTCTAGAAACTCAGTAGGGTTCCTCCCAATGATATCAAGCAGTCTTGAGGCTCTTCGGAGTTCAGAGCTAAGCATTCTGCTTAGGGCTTTAGCGTTGTGACTAGGGAAAGGCAGAGATGGATATCAGAGTCTAGAGTGGACAGTGGATTGCAGTTGGAAACTTGTCCGAGTCAAAATCGAGAATGCATCTAGTATAAATACAGTATATAAAATTCGAATTCTAAATTCTATCAATATAGAATGATACTAGCTAATTAATCTACATGGGATTTATGTATTACTTTTTTTTTTTTTTTCGAATTAAGGTGGAATGATGATCTAGCTAGCTGATTACCTTATTAGGTTTAACCCATTTATCCTATCGGACGAATTTCTTATCCGCTAGTCGCTTTACAATCCACGTCAGGATACCAAAGAAAGACGCCGTAAGCAACGAGGAAGATTGTTCCGTTCCCCTCCCTACTTTCGCAATCCTAACTTCATAGGGAATCTTGTGCCGAGCCATGTGATTCTGGCCAGCATGAACATTTTTCCTACTCCAATGTATCGTTGCACTACGGAGACTGAGTACGCAAATTGCCGCTATCGTTCTCGGCTTTTTTGAACTCTTATGATCCAGCAACTACCCGTGAGACACAAGCCCGTTCGTATTGGAAGAGAAGACATGCAGCTCATATTTATATCTTCTTGAATCTACCTAGGTACTTTTCGTTGGGTACGATAGACGTCGGATGGGTTTGCGTTGGCATCAGCTGAATCATTTTCTACACGCACAAGGCTGATGAACTGCAGGGGATGAATTAAGGCTAAGTCCCAATCAGGATCAATATTTCATTCGTTAAGCTACCCTGCTTTTGCAGTATGCAAGTACAAGCATTCATCCCACCAGTCTTCAGTCGAGCTGCGTTAATCTACCCAAAGCGGGCATTTTCATGAGAGGTCACTGAAGCCGATGGGAGGGTTGCCTTTCCGCGTGTACATTGATTGATTGATGCAGTCAGAAGGATTGTCACCGAGTTCTTGCTCGTTCTCAATGAAAGTCAGGCATTAAAGTCACAGCATCGCCGATTTTGGTGGCGGAAGTGGCAAGTTTTTTTATCGGCCTTCATTGGTGAACCTTGTCGACCGATGTCCTGGAGGGAAGAGAAAAGTTTCGTGCAGGTACGGTACATTCACGATTCAAGTTGGTTTGCAATGCGCCGAGCCTCTTCACTCTTTATTCTTAAGGCGAACACGAAAAGAAGGGTTTGAAACCTTCATAATTGATAATTCATAATGATTCAGGCGCGTCTAATTTACTGGATTGGAGCCGTCGTCCCACTATGCTGGGGACAAGAAACGGGATGGATTCTGGATCAGGTAAATACAACGATGTGTTACTGGACATCTCCTCGAGGTATGTCTTCGCACATGAAGTTTTATTGCTTGGAACATTTGCGTTGCAATAGCATCTGACAATACTAGCTGCTGTGGTGCGAGATACATTTTATCTTGATGGAGGAGAACTATGGTGGGAGCCTGGCTTGAGTGACGGGTCATACGCTCCTCCTGTCAGCGATGGTAAGTACCGATGCTAAAATCCCTAACTGTACTCATTATCTGCAAGGAAATCCTCTTGGACTCGTATATCTTCTCAACTTTAACACTTCCTTTCATATATCCGACAATGTTAGTACTATCTTTAGTACTATATCCAAGGCGCCGAATGGGGGATCTGCCAGCAATCTGGGCCCAAATTATGTCGATGGAGCAATGTTTGCGAATGACTATGAATGGTACACATATGGGGGAATGTTGGTTATGACAGCGGCCTTCTCCTCACCAGACGAAGATTCCGCTATATCATACGAAGTCTATACGGATGGTACTCCCGGCAAGCAATTCTTCCAAAACTTTCAACAAATTAAGCTACCAACAAACTTAACAAGATATGTTACCTATGGAGGAGCCGTAAGTATCCCATCTGAAAATCTAGGATACTACTTTTCAGGATACAGAGCTGCGGACTTTGGGGATATTTATAATGATCCGGGCATAAAAAATGCATCCTACCTAGCAAACGTGACATCCCAAACTTTGATCAGTGTTGATATGACGATTCAAACCTTGTCAAAGTGGTCTAACGAATCTCTACCATCAAGTGTTCCAGGCCGTGCTAATCCTGAAATTGCCTGGATTCCAGTTTCGGAGCAGGGAATACTAGTTGCAGTTGGTGGAGTCATTGATCCTACCTATGCTAGTATTAGCCAGGCAAACAATGCATCTGTTAATGCCCAAAGTGTGAGTTGTTAGTTCACCACCCTAGAAGATAGCTATTGATTGTCAATAGAGCCGAATCAGTCCAGGTTTCATGACGACGGTTTCCATCTACGACATTTCCAAGAAAGTTTGGTATGAACAAGAAACATCTGGAAGTTCTCCTGGTGCTTTAACCCAAGGATGTACTGTGGTTGCCTCTGCCGAAGATGGTTCAAGTCATAATATATATTGGTATGGAGGTTACGATGGCATTCATATTACCCAGCCTTTCTCGGATGATGTATATGTTCTCTCGATACCCTCGTTCATATGGACAAAGGTTTACACTGGGAACAGTACTCATGGTCGGGCTGGACATAAATGTGCTAAGCCATACCCAGATCAAATGGTTGTTGTAGGTGGATACGCTTCGCTAAGTGGCAACATACCTACATGCCTTGAAGGTGGTATGATCCAAATATTCAATCTGAGTGATCCCCAATGGCTGAATTCCTATGATCCTCTAGTTTGGAGCAATTATACTGTACCCAGCCAGGTTACTTCTGTTATTGGAGGTTCTGGGACTGGTAGCGCTACACAAACCACACCTTCTGGTGGATTCGCAAATTCAAGCATGACAGAACTTCTAGGGACTTCCTACAACACAACCAAGATCACTAATTGGTATCCATACACACCAGCTTCATCCACTCCTACAAACAACCGAACAACGCTGCTTCCTTCACCAGTTGCCACTAAATCAGGAACGCCTGCATATCTTGGACCTGTTCTAGGTGTAGTTCTGGGTCTTTTCTTTATAACACTTCTCATCTTAGCCTTCATAATATATCGCCGTCGCAAGATTTTTGGACTTTCAAGATCGGAACGACAAAGCGAAGTTGGAACTATGACTGAAAATCGTCGACGGACTCTCCGCTGGCTTTATGCTACACCTAGGGATGCAAAAGCTCCTACAGTCACGACAGATGAAACAGAACTGAATGCGGTATCTTCAGAAGCTGATACTGATTACACTCGTGTATTTGCCGAGATGCCTGGTGATACTCAGTTTCACGAAATGGATGGTATTTATTTCCTTGCCTCTTAATCTTCAGACCAAATCTCTGACGTACCTCACTTAGATACATCCCGCCCCTCGGAACTTCACAACACAGGCTTTGTATTTACTTCTCCCAAGTCCAATGTCTGGAACAATATTTCCAGCATACAAACACCTATCACCCATTCCCCATCCGCCAGCTCCAATCGCTCTCACGCCAGTACCGTGTCCCGAACCTCGGGTCCAAGACCATCTCCCATCTCTCCCGCGCGTGCAGATAGTTTAACATTTAATGAACAAGCGGGAGGTATGGCGACAGACCGGGTCCATAGTGATCTAAGTAGTGTCGCGGAAAGTGATAGGGGTCATTTGAGACAAATTAGTGATACAAGCGTCAGTGTAGATGGAGATTATGGAAATCCCCCAATGTTAGATGTGCAGATTGAGGGACCGAATGATGATGAGCATACATTTGATGATGAGTTTGGGAGACCTGGGGTAGTTAGTCCATTGACGCCACCGCAGGGAGTGGGGGAGGGTAGACACCATTATTTTGGTCCAGATAGTGTCGGAGTTGGTAGTATGCATAATGCACAGCCGGTTGATACGAGGAGAAAAAGTAATTTTGAGGAAAAGCTGGATGATGAATAAGATGGAGAGGAGATTGTAAGTACATACGTATTGTTATGTTAATCTTTCTGAGAGGAAGGAAATGTTATGAATTATGACGGTATATGAATTGGATTGAATGAAGTACGAGATAGCAGGGCGTCATTGAAGGCCATTGTTTCCAGTCGTTACAGTTATACCATCTCATCACTTCATGTATACACGTTCGTACCTAGGTATCAAGATACAATATCTTGGTTTTAGTCTTTGATGTCTCTAATTCTCTTTCTATTCATCTCATTTCATCCCATTTCATCTGATTTAAAGAACATGTGATGTAACCTTAAGTTCCATCAAATTCACCTTCAATCTAGTAGATTGATTCAAGAATCTAATCAGTCCTTCTCCTATGCACAAAAATACATTATAAATATAGCATTAATATAGCATTTAAATTAATATTAGTTTCCGACTGACTGATGTGCATTCATTCAGATAAATAACACTTTTTTCCATCCCGTCAGATCAGATCAGATCAAATCAGATCAGATCAAGATGCCAGTTCAGTTCGAGTTCTAGTTCTAGTTTTCTTCTTCACGAGGTGGATTAAAGAAAAGCTAGATAGGTAGGTAGGTAGGTAGATAGGCGTAATTAATTAATCTTTTAAAGAAAAAGTATATTGGTGATCTATCTATCTATCTATCTATGTATGGTAAGGTAGGTTAATGCAGATAGGTTAGGTAATGTAATTTAATATAATTTGACATTCCTTCTCGATATGATATGATACCCATAGGGTAACTAGTGAACTAGTGAAGTAAGATTATATGACTGATAAACTGAAAATTAAACTAGTCCCCGGGCATCTCAGGTACGTATGGTATATAGATTAACCTTAGCTGCTCCCTGAAAATTTGAGATCAGACCTAATTATATGTAGTTCAAATATGACTACCAAACTGCACCCACACTGGATATTTGATGAATCGATAATATGTATGTATGTATGTGTCACGGAAATGTATTTTTCCTTTTTTCCTTTTTCCCGTTCAGTCATGTAATCTGTTTTCTTAGGTAGCAGTAGTGTAATCTTGAGGTGTTATTGGATTTTTGTATTGAGTTTCTGTTGATTCTGCAGGTTTTGTAGTTTGATGATCTTGTTTTTGTTTATTTGGTTGGATGGTGTGTGGATGGATGGATGAATGAATGATTTCGAAGGAAATTCAATACAGGGTACAAATTATGTGTGTGTGTATGAATCAAGAAGTAGATTTATATCATTTTTATATCTCTCCCGCGGTTTGCGCTATGTATAAGGTTACGCTCTGCCCGCACATTTTTTATTTTGAGAGGAAGGAAGCAGTATTATGTAAGGTATAATCTTATCATGTCGATCTGGATATTGTAGGATTATATCTTGCCGAAGGATAACCTGGGGGATGATTTGATAATGCTATTTATCTCGAGGTTGGAAACCAAAAAATCGGACCGTCGATTCAGATATTCGGGTACAGCGGGTTTTCTTTGGCAAGGTTAAGCGAATTTGAACTCCAGACGATTTATATTGTAGGTCAGAGTCAAGACTAATTATCTCATATATTGTTCGTAAATTCGCTTCTTGCTTGGGATTTATATATTTATACTGAGTACTAGTGTAGGATGAGATTATGGATATGAATATCTAGCTGATGTTTATCAACTTGAATATTATAATATCTTATATTTAACTTTTTGATATATTATTTATTATTAAAGTGAGTTTATATAAAGAAATTTTAATATACAAGATCTTGTAAAAATGATTTTAAGAGATCTTATAATAATTATCAGGGGCCTGCGGGCCCCGGACCCCTGGCTTTTTGAGAAAGTCTAATGAAAATTTAAGTTTTAAAATTTTTATAATAAATTTATATATTAAATATATATTAGAGTGCAGGCAGAATTTCAGCTTGTTTTTGATAATTGAAATTTAAATTTTTTTATTTAAAAATGATTATTATTATTATTATTATTATTTTGAATTAAATGAATAAAGTTGAATTAAATAACTTGAATAATTTAAATAATTTCAATAGAGTCGAAAAAAGTTTCAAATCAGATTTATTTGAGATTATAAGACTTATATCAAGTTATTTGTTAGATTTATTTACCAGGGTATTTTAGACCAATCAGATTGTCAGGATCGCGACTTACTTAAACAAGTTTTTCATTTTCTATTATTTATATTAAGTAAATTTTATATATAGTAAAGTTATAATATCAACAAATCAATAATAAAAAAACTCTTAATTAATTATTAATATTTTAATATTATATATCTTTTTTAAATATACTTTTAATTATTCATTTTTATATTATATCAAATTATATTCAATCAAATAAAATAAAAATCAAATCTTTATAAATAAATTTTATTTAATCTTATTGTAACGATCTGGTCGAGGCAGCGGCTGCCTCAGGTTTTGGTATGGTTGGTAGTTGTAGGTTAAGGCTAATAATCACTAATTATCTACTCGAAAATGAATATATTATTAGATCAATTGGAATATAAATAAACTAATTGATAATTAAATTGAGTACAAAGCTTTTAAATTATGAAACTATTCTGATTATATACTAATCCATTTTGAGAGTCTCCAAAAGTTTACACTTCTAAAAGCTTCAAGAAGTTTATAAAAGTCTATACTCTTGAAGGCTTTATTACATAATTAGAATCAAACTATATATCCAAATTTATTGAAGATAAAAAAACTATACAAAACAATTGTTATATAAATTTATATACAAATTACTTTGTTTTTCAACAAAATCAAAATTTATAAAAACAGATTGATTGTTATTTTATAATATTTTATAAAATAATTTTGTAATATTATCCTTTTCTTAATCAAATATCATCTTTAATTATTTATAATTAATATATAACCTATTAGTTTTTCATTGTTTTATATTTTGATTCTTTTCTTTATTATAAATAATTTATAATTTAACAAAATTTGTCAAAAGAATAAAAAAAAGTTCTATTTTATAATTGAAATCAAAAATTCTAATATCAAAATGATTTTATATATTTATTGTTATACAGAGAACCTTTGTTATATAAAAATTCTGAATAATTTACAAAAGATTCATTGTTTCGAATATATATAATCTTGTATTCTTTACAATACAAAACAATATTTGAAAGATAATTGAAATAAAAAAGTTTTTCGAATAAATGATTAAAAATCCTTAGATAAACAAAAAGAAAAACTTTATAAAAAAGAAAAAGAAATTATAATTAAAATTCTCCATCTTTAAAAACAATAAAATTATTTACAAAATTGTTATAAAAAGATAACTAAATAAGATCTCAAATATTTTAATGAATTAGATACTTTGGAAAAAAAGAAAAGAAAAGAAAAAAAGGAAATTGTTGTATTTTTGATATTTATTGTTAATTCTGACTTTTTTAATCAATTTAATCAATTTGATCAATTTGATCAATTTGATCAATTAACCTTTAATCAATTTGATCAATTATTAATTGATCTTATTAATCCCAACGAAATTCTTATAAACGAATTCGATTCTTTCGATTCTTCTTTACAAAAAGCAATAAATTCTTTTTCCTTTTGAATAAATCCAGATTTTATCGATGAAATTTCTGATATTTCTTTAAATATTTAATTTCTTTCTCAAATTCTTATATATTTTCGAAATCGAAATAATCTTTCTATTTTATTAAATATTTGATTTTGTTTTTAATATATTTATAATCTAATATCTTTTTCATTTTGTATTCGATATCTTGATCTATAAATATAATTTCTATTTCAAAAACTTTAAATACTTTTAAAAGTATTAGTTCGAATAAAGATATATAGAATATTAGATATATATTTATACTTTTTGATAACATTAATTCATAATTCAAAAATCCTTTAACTTTCTTGATTTTGAATAATTCGAATTTCTTATAATTCAATTTTGTATTAAATCTTTTTGTTTCAATGTTTTTTCAAAATAAATAGATTTTATCCCTCTCTTTTAATATTAACTTTTAATTATATTTTCAATTATAATAATATACATTTCTTTCAATAACGAATTTTAATTCTATTATCATTTCTTTATAAACTTTTTTAAATCTTTCTATTTATATTATTATAAATTGATTTTCTATTTTTATAATCCCTAACTCACAATATACAATCAATTCATACCCAAAATTGATATAATTCAGAATGATTTGCATTATTTCTGATATTAAACTATTATATACGAATTATACTAAAAATAAAAGTTCTACTCAATTATTTTATTAATAATTCATATAATATCAAAAATAAACTTCGATAATTTGATTTATTCTTTTGTTTCTTTTATTGATTTGTAAGAGTTCTGGAAACTTCTAACCGCACACTTTACCGAGAAATAACCGTAACCTTATTTTCAACCCTCAATTATAAATAATTCATCAAAATTCAAATTTTCAATATTTTCTATTCAAACTCAAATTGGTTATCAAAATTCAAGATGAAAATGATAATCATGAATTTCATCAAAATTGGAGTACCCCTTATAGAGCTAAAATCTTTCAGACTAAAAGGGATGGAAAATCGTAATCTTGGATCGAACAAAATTTGGATGTACCTCGAAGTATCACAAAAGATATCATTAAATCGAATTCACTTAAAACTATTTATAAAAAGAAGGTATATCGATCCTTTATAATAATAATTAAAAAGATTCAACAAATTATAAAAGAATTAACAAAAAATTGAAAAGGAAGAAGAATAACTTTTGAATAAATGAAATATATATTAAAGGTTAAGGCTTTGATATATATTATTCGATATGAATTATATTAGTATAGTTATAAACATTATATAGTTTACCTTAGACCATTTATCTTTAGAAAACAAGCAAAAAAGAGATTGGATTTTGTATATACATATCGTTGATAAAGGACAATCGATATAGCTTCCGAAAAGCTTAAAAGAAATAATTGAAGAAAGATTATATAATCGAATAAAAACATTTTTGAGATTAGAAAATATAATAGGATATAGATAATTTATAGAATTAAAAAAAAAAGATATAAAAATTGTATCAAATCAATATACAGATTAGAAAGGATTTCTGTAATAATATAAAGGACTTTTGATTGGAATTATAAATCTTCATTAATCTTTTTGAAAAAGAATCCTGATGATAAAGGGATAAATTCAATAATATATCAGGATCAAATCCTTATTCCTATTGTATTCCTTTTATTTGATGAATTAGAACTTGAATATATATTCATAAAAGATAATACAAAGGTTTATTTGAAGTATATTAAATTAACTCGATTAAAATATAATATTAAAGGCTTTCAATAACCCCTCTTTTCTTTAGATCTCAATCCAATTAAGAAGGTATAATATTGGATA